TCGACAGAATGATAAAACTCGAGTAAGTTTCCGCAAAGATGAAAATCGAGTCATTATGTTCTCATTTTCATCAGTAACTATTGTTGTGTTACTACTAATTCCACATTTCTTCTCTTCTAGATCAGTTGTATGTATTTCTTCTTTATTGAAATTAATTTCTTTCAGGTAAAGCCATTTCGGTCCGTGGTACCAAAGAATATTTTGGACGCATTCTGAAGGCTGCGTTCCTCGTGAGGCTGGATCCGCTGGATTTTCTTTAGTATCAACGTGTGACCATTGATCCCCATCCAAGATACTAAGTATCTCCGAAACTCTATTTGCAATGAATGTTTTCCACCGGCTGGGGTGGCTCCTAAGCCAGGCTAAAACAATTGATGAGTCGGTCCAAGCATGCCACCGTTCCCTTGGGACATTTAGAATTTCACCTACCTCTTTCAAAAGTTTGGCGAGAAGCAGTGCACCACATAATTCCAGACGTGGAATTGATACCTGTTTAATGGGAGCTACCCTGGATTTGGATGTAATTAGATGGATATGAACCTTGCCTTCTCTATCAACTATACGTGCGTAAACAACCGCTGCGTAGGCTATGCTTGAGGCGTCTGAGAAGCCATGCAACTCAAAAACTCCATCATCTTTGCTCAAATGGATCCATCGTGGAACACGTATTTCGGAAAGTTTATTTAGCTCGCTTCGAAATCGGACCCAATCCTTAAGTAAAGAAGGAGGAAGTTCGGTGTCCCAATCTATACCAGCTAACCATGCCCTCTGAATAAACGCTTTAGCCGTAGTGACAGCTGGTGCCATCCAACCAAGAGGATCGAAAAGACGCGCAATATCGGAAATCATTTTCCTCTTTGTAACAGGAAGCTGAAGAGATGGAAGATCAACTGTACAACGGAATTCGTCAGCTTCTCTATTCCATTTTAAACCAAGAATTTTTATAACATTGTCACATTTTAGCTCTACGTTCTGGTTTATATCTCGTGCATCTTCATTAATATTATTTAGTAAATCGGTACTATTGCTAGACCATTTTTGGAGTGGAAAACGACCGCGTTTCAATAACGCTGTCATTTCTTCATGAATTTGAAGCCCCTCAGCCACCGTAAAGCAACCAGACAAAAGATCATCCATATAGAAATCGTTTAAGACTCTAGGAGCTGCTAAAGGAAAATCTCTGCCTTTTCATGAGCAAGTTGATGAAGACAACGTACAGCCTGGTAAGGTGCTGAAGATGTGCCGAAAGTTACCCGTAGAAATCGAAGATGCTGCAATTCATCATCTGGACTTTCACGCCAATAAATTCGTTGAAAATCAACGTCTTCATCTGCTACCCTTATCTGTCTGTACATTTTTACGATGTCAGCTACTAACCCGATAGGATAACAGCGCCACCTCATGATCAAATATCGTAATGTTGGTTGAAGTGTCGGACCAACCATTAAATCACTATTAAGTGATGCTCCATTAGAATCGCAACAAGAAGCATCAACCACCATGCGTATTTTTGTGGTAGCCTTATCCTTGCGTATAACGGCATGATGAGGTAGATATACCGCTGTGTCCTGTATAAACTCAGAGTTTACAACTTCCATGTGACCTGACCTGAGATATTCATCTAGAACTTTTGAATACTCTATCTTAAGTTCAGGATTTCGCAGAAACCGCTTTTCTAGCAAAAAATATCTTTTGAGTGCAACATCATTTAAATTACCACGTAAACAAGCTGGATCTTCAGTTTTAAATGGTAACCTTACAACAAACCGGCCGGAATCATCACGTTTGGTAGTCCGAATAAAGAACTCCTCACAGCGTTCTTCTTCCGGTGTAAGATGTTTAGACTTATCAAAAGATGGTTCTGACTCTAACTCCCAAAACTTCTTTAGAAGTTCATTTTCACTGGGTTCAGCCACATGTAGACTAACTACGTTGAAAGATGCCTTACCGTGGTTGGCGTCTTTGTTTTCGGGATGTACCTTGCCAGAAAGTATCCAACCAAGTGTTGTCCGTTGGGCTACAACGGCACCTAGTGGATCCTTGATCAAACCCTCCAATAAAATCTGGCTGTATACATCCGCGCCTAAAAGTAGATCTATTTTATTCGGAGTACCGAAAAATGGATCTGCTAATTCAGTGGACGGAAGTGTTGGTAACACTTGGACATAAACCTTACTACTCGGTAGAAAGGTCGTAAGTTTGCTCAAGACATGTGCTTTAACAGTAACTGTAAAGCTGGGGTCTAAACGGGACTGAATTCTCAACCATACTGACGACTTTGAAGACAAAGTCGCTTGGTCACCGCCTAAACCTGATACCAAACTAGTGCCTGGTATTTTCTTGAGCCCTATCATTTGGACTGCTGCTTCAGTGATGAATGAAGCTTGAGACCCTTGGTCTAGCAGTGATCTTAAAACAAAAGTAGAGTTCGATTTGTGAGACTCTACCTTGACTAAGGCAGTAGCCAATAGAACCTGCCCCAATGAGCTTGTAAAACAAGAAGCTACTACTGGGGAAATTTGAACCTCGCCACAAGTCTGCGATTGTGATAAACCGGAGTTTTCTCCGACATCACTATGCACAGACTGATCAGTCCTTATTTCAGTGACTGATTTAGGACTTCTGAGATGAAGCAACGTATGGTGCTTTTTCTTACATAAGCGGCACCTTGTTGATGATGTACATTGATACACAGAATGGTTAAGACCAAGACAGTTAAAACACAAATGATTTGCTTGGGCAAAGCTACGTCGTGCGTCAATATTTTCTTTAGCAAATTTTTTACAATTATTTAATCTGTGATTTTCAGTACAAAAATTACAGGTTACTAGTGTTGTGGCAACGTGAGTACAATTAGATTTTTCTGGCTTTTGAACTCTGTTATCTATAAATTCTAAAGCTCTGAATCGATTTTGTAAAAAATCTTCAAATTGTTTGAAACTAGGTAAATCTTGAATAGAGTCACTAATTTTTAGCTCCCATTGTTTACGTGATTCAGGATCTAACCTTTGGCTAACAAGGTAAATAACAATAATGTCCCAGCTACTGATATCAACACCTATGTTTTTTAAGGCCGATAAACAATCTTTAGTATTGTCCAATAATTGTTTAATACCATTAGCAGTTTCGGAAAGTAAAAGTTTTTGAGTAGTCAATTTCTTTAAAATATTATTTGCAAGATACCTTTTATTATTATAACGACTCTCAAGTTGTGACCAACAAGTTTCGTAATTATCTGCCGTGACTGGTATATAACGCAACAATTGTTCTGCTTCACCAGTAACACAACTTTTCAAATAGTGAAGTTTTTGAACATTATCAATACCTGAATTATTATGAATTAAGGATGTAAACAAATCACGGAAGCTGACCCATTCTGAATATTTGCCTGAAAATTTAGGCACGGAAATCTTTGGTAGACTTACAGCAGATTGTTCATTGACTTTAGATTCCCCGGGTACCTCAACAGACTTAGGTTTAAATGTTGACAATAATGACTTTAACAATGACTTGAATTCACAGTATGCTTCTTCGGTTTGTTCGTACAACTCAACTGTTTGATAAGTCGAAGCTTGCAATATTTCAAAATCTAATTCTAAAACTATTTTATTATGGTTGTCATTAAATCTTGACCAACACTGCTCTAACGTTTCTAAGCGAGTTTCGACATAACAAAAAGTAATTCTTTCTTTAGGACTTTTTTTGAAGTTCGTTTTTATTTTATAAATTTTATTAGAAATATCTTCCTGAAGTTTGAAATACTTTTCGGCCATTATTACAATTTAACAGAGAAATTATGTTCACAATGTAATAATATAAAATATTTAAGAACAAATAAATTTGTCAAATTAACATAAATATTCTAAGTCCAAAGTTGTCGAAATTATTCTAAGTCCAAACTGCTTAAAAATTTTCTAAGTCTTTAACACTTCGCTCTGAAAACCGGCATAGGTTCCCCGTTGGATCACTTTTCTTAAAATTATTCTAAGTCCGAACAACACTACCGCAAATTCACACTAATATTGATTTCTTCTAAGTTTCGCACTTCTAGTAAATAAGGTCTAAATTTGTACTCACAATTTCTTCACAACTCATGTCAAACCTCGGATGCTTCAGGGGGGGCTCCCCTCCCTCCAATTGCCGCAGCAACTGCTTTATCCGCTGATAGTACTCTCGGTAACGATCCGTTACCCTATCAGTACTGCTATAGCCTTGTACACATCAACTTCGTGCCTTGATTAATCCGGCAATACGAAGGACCATGTTCAAATCTCAAAAAGTCTGTGAGTTATTTAAATAAATAAAACACCAAAATCTGTGGCAAAGGTTGTCTATTTCAAAATAATATTGAACTTAAGTGTATTCGAAAAACAAACTAAATACCGTGATTCAGAACTTGCATAGAAAAATATTAAACATAAAAGTAACGCCATCTATGGATGAATTTGATAAATTAAATAATATTACTACAAACTTAACATTCCTGCTTCTATTGAAAGTAAAAAAAACGAGGACTTTTCTCGTCTCCCTAAATGTAAGATAGCGTAGCAAGAGCTGGAGGCGATGCTCGTACAATACTTTGTACGGATGAATCGAAGGCGCGGCAATAGCTTATCCATCATCAGCCAATTTGTGTCCCCACTGCTAGGGCTCAGGCACTCTCTAGGGATGGAAATGTGAGACCCACCTTAGCTCATAGTGGATGCCATCGATTGCAGATGCAGCTAGGACCAACCCCTTAACGTGTTTTTCCAAGCACGGAAGAGCTAGAGATCATAAATATTTGGTAACCTAATATCATTGAAAAGCATTGCAAAAGTGGTTTAACTTGCAAGATTGCAGACAGAATGCGCTCGCGTTATCTAGCTCCTCAACAGCAACTAAGACTGTCTTTAATAGATTGAGACCGAACAAATAACTTGGTACTTATATTAAAGCCCAGCATTTTTTAAGTTAAACATCGGTTACGGTAACATATAATAAGCCGTAAGTGTAGCTTATTATTTTCGAGGATGGTGGAAACAGTCCCTCTGGCTACTTTCTATTTTATCTAGTCTGTACTGGCAGTGGCATGTAGTCAGTATACGTACTGGCGGCGGCATGTAGTCAGTATACGTACTGGCGGCGGCATGTAGTCAGTATACGTACTGGCGGCGGTATGTAGTCAGTATACGTACTGGCGGCGGTATGTAGTCAGTATACGTACTGGCGGCGGCATGTAGTCAGTATACGTACTGGCGGCGGCATGTAGTCAGTATACGTACTGGCGGCGGTATGTAGTCAGTATACGTACTGGCGGCGGCATGTAGTCAGTATACGTACTGGCGGCGGCATGTAGTTAGTATACGTACTGGCGGCAGTATGTAGTCAGTATACGTACTGGCGGCGGTATGTAGTCAGTATACGTACTGGCGGCGGCATGTAGTCAGTATACGTACTGGCGGCGGCATGTAGTCAGTATACGTACTGGCGGCGGTATGTAGTCAGTATACGTACTGGCGGCGGTATGTAGTCAGTATACGTACTGGCGGCGGCGTGTAGTCAGTATACGTACTGGCGGCGGCATGTAGTCAGTATACGTACTGGCGGCGGTATGTAGTCAGTATACGTACTGGCGGCGGTATGTAGTCAGTATACGTACTGGCGGCGGCATGAAGTCAGTATACGTACTGGCGGCGGCATGTAGTCAGTATACGTACTGGCGGCAGTATGTAGTCAGTATACGTACTGGCGGCGGCATGTAGTCAGTATACGTACTGGCGGCGGCATGTAGTCAGTATACGTACTGGCGGCGGCGACGGCCAACAGCGCGGTGGCGGCGCGCAGCACGGGCGCGGGTCCGCGGCGACATACGCAGGCGCTGCATGTAGTCAGTATACGTACTGGCGGCAGTATGTAGTCAGTATACGTACTGGCGGCGGTATGTAGTCAGTATACGTACTGGCGGCGGCATGTAGTCAGTATACGTACTGGCGGCGGCGACGGCCAACAGCGCGGTGGCGGCGCGCAGCACGGGCGCGGGTCCGCGGCGACATACGCAGGCGCTGCATGTAGTCAGTATACGTACTGGCGGCGGCATGTAGTCAGTATACGTACTGGCGGCGGCATGTAGTCAGTATACGTACTGGCGGCGGCATGTAGTCAGTATACGTACTGGCGGCGGCGACGGCTAGCAGCGCGGTGGCGGCGCGCAGCACGGGCGCGGGTCCGCGGCGACACACGCAGGCGCTGCATGTAGTCAGTATACGTACTGGCGGCGGCATGTAGTCAGTATACGTACTGGCGGCGGCGACGGCTAGCAGCGCGGTGGCGGCGCGCAGCACGGGCGCGGGTCCGCGGCGACACACGCAGGCGCTGCATGTAGTCAGTATACGTACTGGCGGCAGTATGTAGTCAGTATACGTACTGGCGGCGGTATGTAGTCAGTATACGTACTGGCGGCGGCATGTAGTCAGTATACGTACTGGCGGCGGCGACGGCTAGCAGCGCGGTGGCGGCGCGCAGCACGGGCGCGGGTCCGCGGCGACACACGCAGGCGCTGCATGTAGTCAGTATACGTACTGGCGGCGGCATGTAGTCAGTATACGTACTGGCGGCGGCGACGGCTAGCAGCGCGGTGGCGGCGCGCAGCACGGGCGCGGGTCCGCGGCGACACACGCAGGCGCTGCATGTAGTCAGTATACGTACTGGCGGCGGCATGTAGTCAGTATACGTACTGGCGGCGGCGACGGCTAGCAGCGCGGTGGCGGCGCGCAGCACGGGCGCGGGTCCGCGGCGACACACGCAGGCGCTGCATGTAGTCAGTATACGTACTGGCGGCGGCATGTAGTCAGTATACGTACTGGCGGCGGCGACGGCTAGCAGCGCGGTGGCGGCGCGCAGCACGGGCGCGGGTCCGCGGCGACACACGCAGGCGCTGCATGTAGTCAGTATACGTACTGGCGGCGGCATGTAGTCAGTATACGTACTGGCGGCGGCGACGGCTAGCAGCGCGGTGGCGGCGCGCAGCACGGGCGCGGGTCCGCGGCGACACACGCAGGCGCTGCATGTAGTCAGTATACGTACTGGCGGCGGCATGTAGTCAGTATACGTACTGGCGGCGGCGACGGCTAGCAGCGCGGTGGCGGCGCGCAGCACGGGCGCGGGTCCGCGGCGACACACGCAGGCGCTGCATGTAGTCAGTATACGTACTGGCGGCGGCATGTAGTCAGTATACGTACTGGCGGCGGCGACGGCTAGCAGCGCGGTGGCGGCGCGCAGCACGGGCGCGGGTCCGCGGCGACACACGCAGGCGCTGCATGTAGTCAGTATACGTACTGGCGGCGGCATGTAGTCAGTATACGTACTGGCGGCGGCGACGGCTAGCAGCGCGGTGGCGGCGCGCAGCACGGGCGCGGGTCCGCGGCGACACACGCAGGCGCTGCATGTAGTCAGTATACGTACTGGCGGCGGCATGTAGTCAGTATACGTACTGGCGGCGGCGACGGCTAGCAGCGCGGTGGCGGCGCGCAGCACGGGCGCGGGTCCGCGGCGACACACGCAGGCGCTGCATGTAGTCAGTATACGTACTGGCGGCGGCATGTAGTCAGTATACGTACTGGCGGCGGCGACGGCTAGCAGCGCGGTGGCGGCGCGCAGCACGGGCGCGGGTCCGCGGCGACACACGCAGGCGCTGCATGTAGTCAGTATACGTACTGGCGGCGGCATGTAGTCAGTATACGTACTGGCGGCGGCGACGGCTAGCAGCGCGGTGGCGGCGCGCAGCACGGGCGCGGGTCCGCGGCGACACACGCAGGCGCTGCATGTAGTCAGTATACGTACTGGCGGCGGCATGTAGTCAGTATACGTACTGGCGGCGGCGACGGCTAGCAGCGCGGTGGCGGCGCGCAGCACGGGCGCGGGTCCGCGGCGACACACGCAGGCGCTGCACAGCGGCGCCGCCACCAGCTGCGCGCCCGCCTTCGCGCCCAGCACCAGGCCTACCACCGCCTGCATGCCACCAGAACCTGACAGGTTAGACCACACGAACACAGATAATGTAAAACTATATTATACTTCTTTTCCATACTAAAATATATCAAATGCGAAAATGTTGCAGTGACGTGTGTTTAGGGCGATAAATGTTAGATCTGACTGCTAAATTAAGACTGGACGCATACGTACGGTTTCTTGATTTGGATTCCTGATCCGGAATTCCGGTTATTAGGTTTTTTCCCTTCTGAAAAAGACAGAATAGTGTGCGCCTCGTTGAACATTTTGTATGAAAGGACGTGCATTCAGGTTTCCGAATCATGATTTCTGATCAGAAAACTGAACATGTGCGCCCAGGCTTAATTAGGTTTACAATGTTTTATATACTGGAGAGAGATGAGTGTATGCGTTACATGGTGTACACCTGCAATGAGTATGACAGCGTTTATCTTGCTCTATGTCTGTCCGTCTGTAGCCTTTTCACGCTTAAACTGCTGAAACGGTTTAGGTGAAATTTAGCATAGAAATAGTTTGACAGCAGGGAAAGGACATAGAATAAGTTTTAAGTCCAGAGATCATCCTGAAAGGAGGTGCGAAAAGGGTGCAAGTTGTATGGCAAACCAATTAAACTACGCAGACCAAGTTGCGGGCACCTATAAAATAAAAGTGAGTTATAACTCAGCAGAGCACGCCATAATAAGGAGAGAGAGGAAGCGATGGGGTATCCAATAGTTAGTAAAAGTAGAATCAAGTGGGGGGCTGTGCAACAAGGGGCTCATATGACAGCTGCTTAGGATGGCGGCATATGAAAGTAATAAAACACGTTAAGACAGATCAGAGACAGAACTGGAAAAGCGTGCAGCAACAGTAAAAAGGTGTGGAAGTTTATAAAAAATGATGCTTTTTTGAAAAAACAGCATGAAACATCTTCATGTCTATTACAAGGTCATTCGTCACAGTTAACATCGCAATATTGGCAAAAATCTGGTAGAAAATGTTCATATTCGCAAAACTAGGTCATTTTCATCTATTCTGGCAGCTTGCTCAAATAATTTAAATTAATTTGTTCTTTTACAAACTGACGAAGCTGTAGTTGCAAGTATAATAACAGACCTTAAAGATGATTCTTCAGTTGGATGGAATAATATCTCAAATAAAATACTAAAACAATATAAGCACATCCTCATTCCACCGCTAACAAATATTTTCCAAAAGTGTTTAACTAAAGGAATTTTCCCTAAATGTTTAAAAAAAGCAGTCGTTGTTCCTGTATTCAAATCTGGCAGTAGAGACCAGGTGACAAACTATAGACCCATTTCAATTCTTCCTGCAATGTCAAAAATTTTGGAAAAAAAAAATTAACAATAGATTCATGATATATTTGGATATTAAATCTATACTACCCAAAAATCAGTTTGGATGTAAGTAAGTTATCTACTGCCGACGCTGTTCATCAACTTACCGACTATTTAGTACAGGGAGCTCGTTAAGGGTAATAAGAAAATAGGTACATTTCTTGACCTAGCAAAAGCATTTGATGCAGTTTCCGTACCCATCTTGATGCAAAAGCTAGAATCTTTGGGTATAAGAGGCACCCAGCTTAAATTATTTGAGAATTATCTATGCGAACGCACTCGTTATTAGTTCAGATCTAGACAATACCTGTTATGGGGTTCCTCAGGGAAGTATTTCAGGCCCTACTCTATTTTTAGTGTACATAAATGACCTTTGTAATCTGAAAGTGGCAGACTAATTTCTTATGCAGACGATACCGTCTTACTATTTTCTGTAAGTTTTGTCAAGAAGTTCTCAAATGTACACAAAACGGCTTCAACATTGTAAAAATTTGGCTACAGCAGCATCTACTTACACTTAACTCGGACAAAACTAAATATATCACTTTTAAAACTTAAACTCGTGTTGAACGCATGCCTGACTTTTTTGTGGTAATAATTTGTGGTTTATGTTTAAGGTAAAACACTCACCAGGCGAGTCGTCTGTAGCTCGGCGCACCGTCTCATTGAGGAGGGCCACGAGTGGCGTGTCGTGCTGCGACCACAGCGCGAGCGACTCGCCGCGGACCCAGTCCGGAATGATCGGCACTAAACAACAAACAAAACCAAGATTGCACAAAATACTGCCCCTATATACGATAACCAAACATTTCTCTCGAACTTCTTCGTGCTTCAGAATACCGTTAAGCCGTTGGTCCCGCTGCGGCATCTGCATCTGTTAGCACTCACCAATCCTTTGACTCACCAATCCTTTGACTCAGCAGTGGGGATGTTAATTAGGCTGATGACGATGATGACAATCATTCTTTTCTCCAGCTCTTGTCAGCTGAGTAGCGAGATTCTGTCAGGGTGCATACCCTTGATGATGAAGGAAGTAGTTCCTTGATGATGCAGCGCAAGCGTCTATATACAATGAAATTCGCTTGCCATCAGTTGGACCTTATCCTTTTTCAACTTTTTCACATAAAAACTCTTTCCAAAAAAACAGTTATCACATACACTTTATTACCACAGTACTAACCTAGCACAGTGAGTAGAACGTTGTCCAAAAAGAAGGTGAAGTAGACTAGAGTGAAGGCTATGGCGCCGTTGGGCGGCGGCGGAGGAGGCGAGCCCATGATGCGACGGCGGGTTGAAACTATATGACACCGAGAGCTGCTTCTGCGAGCCACGCCATGGCTTAGGCGAGTGGACACACTTAAGTTATTCTAACTTGCGACAAAAACCCACAGGCGTGCAAATTGTCTGTCGGTCTTTGTACTCGATGACTTGACTTGCTATTACTTTCGTCGTTAAGATTCCAAGTTCTGTTTTTCCAAACTTTAATTACTTAACTTTTAACTTAACTTTACCAGAACACAAAGGCAAAGTCTTAAAGTTTATTTATCCCTCCAGGGTAGATATGTAATATTGATAAAAATATATTTGTTTCCATAATAAGGTAGGGTTACAGCTTAATTAATTATCATTCTCTTTTACCGAGCTGGATTAAGGGTGTTTGGGGGCCGCGACCCGACTGATGTTGGTCGGGCATTGTGTATTTTAAGTGAAATTTCTCTCCGAATTTCTCTTGCGCTATGTAAGCTTTCATACTTTTTGAGTGCAGATGGCGCTATATGCCATCTGTTGATATGGAGAGTCAAGTCTTGCTTCGTTAATTCTATCTGGGCCGTGTAATAGTCGCCGCCACTACACTTATTAATAAAATAAATATTTACTTCCGTAAGCTCGGAAAACCAATCTCAAAATCACTTCAAATTCGTCAATTGACATTCTTTACCTCTTTTTCATTGTTGATTACTATTCTTTCATATTTATTCCGTAGAGTCGTTATCACAGTAGATGCTGCTCCGTTCATTACTAAGGTACTATTGTTCTGTAAAGCGATTAGCTTCGAGTCGTTTTCCTCAGGCTCGAGTGGCCTAGTAGCTTTGAGGTCGGGGGTTCTTTTTCACGGAAAAAAAATAGCAGACGTGAGTGTTACAGTACACTCGGTTGGAACGAAGTTCAAATTCAACATAAGTTTATGTCCCTTCGCAACTACACACAACACAATCAATACGCTACGAAACAACTGACGGTTGTGACGGAAAAATCGAACCCTTGTTTTCACTCTAGAGTTGCCGGATGGTCGGGAATCACCTGCCCCGCATAAGCACCGCGATATGATCAATTGTCAAAGTTCTATGAAACTTGACTGTTAGACGAGTTACAAAACATGATATAATGTAAATTGTGGTGCTCATGCTACGGGGACTGGATTCTCTCCGATCCGATCTTCCACAATTCTCCAGAAAACAACTCCAAAATCCCGATATTTTAAAATTTTATCTAGACATTGCGACTTCTCGATCTGGCAACTCTACTAGCCCCCATCCGCCAAGACAGTGGCGTCTGAAAAGGAACTGCATTTCAAACGGCAAATCAAGTGGTTGTCGCAGAAGAAGGTGCTTCAGTGTGAGTGAGCCTCGTCGACGTCGCATCTGCCGCGTGCGGGCGCGCGATAACCGCCCGGCCGCGTTTCCAATCAGCGGTCGTTCGCGCGTGTGCACACCGCCTAATGCAATTTACCCCTTATAAGGTTACGAGCGTGAACGGGGACTCTCACGCGTTTATTGTATAATCCAAAGCTAACAGGGTGCTGTTGAAAAATAAAATAAACGACTCTTAAAAAACGATTTCTACGATTGAAAAATTTCTCCGTTTTTGGAAGTCGGGTAAAAATATTAAGCAGCCACAAGAACGGCTCCCGAAAGTTACCCCGCTATTGTTTTTGGCAACACGTCGTAAGACCAGAATTAATACTGTTTGAAACTGCGTGAGAATGCCTGTAAACGTAACGTCAATTAGCCAACTCTTGAGCATTGTTTCCTAAACCCATTTATGATAAATTATTAGATGCGTAATTAACAGGAAACACGAAAGATGGCTTTTAAAAAATTAAATTGAAAAAGCAATAAACGTACGGTTTCAAGTATGATAAGATTCAAAGGTTGCGTTTGTTCCTCATTAAAGGACTTCACATAAATGCAGTACTGCAACAAAAATGAACAATTTTAAAGCATCTATGAGATTTCAAAAACATCAAGTCGAATTACATGTGTAAGCACTTTTTGGATATAAATAAATCTATAAGATTTCAAAAACTTCAAGTCGTTACATGTGTAAGCACTTTATGGATATAAATAATTTAAATTTGATTATGTGGGCGAGGTCAATAGTTTTTTTTAAAGTTACAGATGGAGTTGTGCTTTTTCTTCTTAAAAATTGTATCGTTAATTCGTTTCAGAGATGAGCAAGACAATTAAAAAAATGTGTTCGGTGTTTATTGGTGTAGTTATTGCTTCATTATTATTAATTAATATATTTTCATGTCGCATATAAACTTAAGAGAGTGCTATTAACTAACTCCATGCGTACGAAGGCGCGGCCGCTATTGATAAATAAAAATGTATGATTATAATATATATTTTCTTAAGCATGTAACTACTCGATGTTTAAAAATGTATGATTTTTGTAAGAGGCTGAGGGACTAATGCTTTTATTAAGCAAAATAAAGGAGTACAGATCGAAATCGGGTATGGAACAGGAAGCAGTAGAGCAGTCACTCAGTGTGTGGACACATATTTTGGAGATACGACGTATTTAGTTAGTCCGGAGCGGTAAAATGCCTTCCAAAATAAGTAAAACCTACGTAGACTCTATTTGCTTTATTTGAGATGTTTTTAAATTTAGGGTAAAAAAATAGTTTATACAATAGTAAAAAGACTTACTTAAGCATTATCCCTTTCCCTTGGATCGTGAAAGCGTATAGATGTGTTTTCGGTGTCACTTTTGAAGAAAATATTGTTATTTTCGGCTTTAATTTATAAAAAATATTATATGGTGCTACCAGGAGCACAGTGCACTAGAAGAGATTACGTTATCGTGAGTATCCATACCACTTATACGGAGGCGTGGTTAATAGTAACCACACCTCCGCTAACACTGCGCGCGCGCATCCTTTTGGTTGAGTCTATTTAACTCTGTCTTTTTGACACCACGCCTGCGCATATTAGTTGGTGTTTAAGTATGCCACCCCTAGATAACAATTTTGCGCTTGCCCAATGGCACAAAATATGGGTCGGATCATAACATTCATCTTGCGACAAATGTCGAAGGCTCAAACCAATCGCTGTTCCGTAACACCAGAACAAAGCGTCGACACGACGATGTATTAAAGAAAGAATTTAAAGCCGAAATAAGGAGTATGTTTGCAACTTCAACACTGATGCACACAATTCTGTATACAAACTTACTTGCATACAGGATATACTTGAAAATATTAAAATTACTAACTCTGGCATTGAAAAGTCAATTGAATTCATCTCCATTGAATGTGATAACATTAAATTAAAAATGAATCAACTGGAAGTGTTAATCAAACAGGAAAAATTGAGGTTTTCGAACGTCACTCTCGTTCTACCAAGGTTGAGTTTCGAAATGTTCCAATATACGACATAGAAAAAAAGCCTGATCTTTCGACTTATGTCCAAAAATTATTCCAAGCTCTCAATATCGAATTTACTGATTCGGATATACAAGACGTATATCGACTCCCCGGCAAGAAGGAGCAAAAGAAGGCGATTATTGTTAACTTGACTAGTACTGCGCTAAAAACTAAACTATTATCTGTTTTAAAGACGTATAACAAAGGACACAAAATAGAGCAAATCATACACTCTACGTAGTTTAAACGTTTTTGAACGAAGCTCTACCCAAGAGTGTAACGAAACGCAAAAAAAAATACTGACTTCAAAACGTTGCTGTCACTGTCACTGTCAGTGAGAAGGGCAGACAAGACAAGGCGGATGGATGTACACCGTTCAATGTTTATCGAACAGTCGCTCGGTTTAGGCCATTTTGCGTTAGAGCTGCGAGCCAGTGAGTGTGATGAGCGGCATCGCTCGTAATTTAAATTGATAATTGGGTTACTTGTGACTGGGTGTAGATGCGAGTGACTGTGGGTGATGTGACGAGCTATACGTCGAGTCGAAGCCCCCTCGACGCCTCCCGCGGACCGCTGGCTGCCTCGCGACATCGCAAATTCCGCTCCGACTAGTTATGGTAAGCTTTTTAAGCTTTCATTAAACTTACCCAATGTTCACAATATCAAGTAGATAGGCAAGCTGCAATAAATTACACATTCGAAATAAATTTGTAGCTTTAGAACGAAACCACTTATTTACTTTACAGTAAGTCTTTTGTTTGATAATTTTGTATTAATAGAAATACAAATTGTGCTAACATCCAAATGTATGTTTCCCTCTCAAAAATGGCTTTCTTTTTTATGTTGTTTAATAAAGTTCAATTGGAAACACATTACTTGTAAAAACTACAAACATCAAATAGTGGTCATTTTGTATTTTTTTTCTGTGTCTGTCTAAGACACTTAGTGGGAAGTTAGACAATATTGTGTACCTAACATTGTGTGAGGTAGAGTTTGCTGATCCACTTTTCCAATGCATAAACAATGGGTGCAGAGTTACACAATGCAAACATCATACCCAATCAATCAATTTGGATGAGTTATCATTGTCACTTTATGATATGTACTGATTGATATTATGCCCCTTGTTGTAGAATGTTAATGGTAAAATTTATTTAAGCAAACAATATTATCTTCCTGTGACAACATACGAGTCAAAAATATATTTTATTTCCTTGTTAAGAGATTAATCTCTTATCACCAGACATTTTAATTAATGGTACACACATTTTAAAAAGTTGTATACACAACACATTTTAACTGTTAATTAACTGCACTGACTGTTGATAAGTACCTATACTATTACTCATTTCGCATATTTACTCACCAATCATTTGATAACACTTTTCAATGGGCTATTACAAATCAAGAATCTTTCATGAGTGCATTTGATTGAATTTTCACACAATATATTACTTTAATTAGGTAAAATTTCTATTAACCATGTGTTTTATGAAACTTCTGATAAGTGTATGTAAATATATCTGTGATATGACCGCACATCTGGCCCAGCTGCATCATAAGTGTCAGGTTTCTGCGACCACAACAAATACACAGACAATGAAAACCACATGGCAATTCCTTGTACACTACAAAAGTAAAATTAGAAGAACATGCACAGTGAGTTTAAACTTTGTGGAAATTACACTCACCGGAGCAAATACACACATAATGAACAAACATGCAATTCCTTGTGCACTGCAAAAGTAAAATGAGAAGATCAGGCAGGCCACTTCCTAATTTGGTATTATAACTCTACTCTCAACTCATTGTAAATTTTATTTTTCTGCATGTTCGTAAGACCTATCTTTTTCCTTATAAACAATATTGATGACTTAATTGATGAATTTCACTCATGAATCTGCACTGGGCCTGCGTGGTGGATCATGGCCCAATCCCCCTGTTCCTTCCATAGGGAAGGCCTGGGTCACAGCAGTGGGCACATTAATAGGCTGATGATCATGAATTGAATTTATTCTACTTTTAAAGCATTTGGAATATTTTTTATAATATAATGTATTAAACTTAACTTACCATTTAAATGATATGATAAACTTACATCACTAACTATCATTATTAATGAAAAACCAAGATAAAAGATGATAAAAGACTTGAGAAGCTTTTAAAAGTTTAATAAGTAAATATCTAGAGCAAAGTTACCCATAGACAGTTTTAGCAATATTTTTTTTATGATTTTATTTATTTTTAAGCATGTAACTGCTAGATGTTTAAATCTAAAGAAAAGTTTACTACTTACTAATATTTTTTTTATTGGTTATATAGAGTAATTTCATAAAAATTTAAACATACAAGTTTTAGCTAAAGTACACTTGGTATGCTTGTATATAATATTACCGTAAGGCTGTTTGTCCACCATGGTCGTCAACAAGGACGAGATTATTTCTGTATGAGATCAAGATGACGCGCCGCGCTTGCGGTGGACAAGCTGCTGTAGTAAATGCATGTGTCGCTACGTAGACGCCGTCATCTCGTCTTCGTTGACGGTTCTGAGACTGGAGGGGTGAACAAACGGTATGGAGAATCAGCGAGCTTTTAACGAATGCAATAGCAACTTACTTAACGACAAATAAGCCGTCGATTCGGTATTTTTCTTAAAATGATTTTATCACAATCGTTATCATGGTTCAGTAAAGTAACTAAAAGTTTTAGTTTTGGCCAGCTATTTCTTTCAATTTAATCCCGTTATTATTAGGGTATTACTGATTAGTGACAAATGTAAACTTGACGTATACTGATTAGTGACTGTGGCGGCGACGTGTACATGCCCCAGATATACCCAAAAGGATGGAGGAAATAATTACTCGCCTCTTTAAGAGATGATGCTACCGGCGCTGTGATCGATAAGTATGGAAGCCTACATCGCGCAAAAGAAATTCGGAGCCAAAAACATAATATACAATGCCCGACCAAGTTACCATCACCCAGCTTGGAGGAAGATCTTTCTCCGAGCTGGGTGATGTGAGGTTTCCTGAAAAGGATTTGCAGGGATTTACATAATTCAACTGCAATTTGTGTTTGTACAGTTCTATTGTGCGTACTGTTTTGGAATTTGCCTCTTGCGTATAGAATCCACAATACAAAATTCATAAAGAAAGAATAGAACGAATCCAGCGGTAGTTCACAAAATGTTGGGCATTTAACAGTCGTAACGCAATCGCGCAAATTATGAAAATCGTCTGAAACATTTGGTAATTGCCACTGGAAAAACTAACAAAATGTGCCGACATCTTGTTGCTTCATAAGTTGATTAATGGAAATATTAATGTACCTGACATGCTTGCTGAAATTAATTTCACATTACCAAGTAGAATTCCACGTCATCCAATCTTGCCTTTTACAAAATCGTTTTTCCGAACCAAAATAGTAGCACCCCTAAGTCGTTTGATGGAGACGAGTAATGTCGGCACAGCTCTTGGCTATTCGTCTCTGTTATTTGTAAACTTAACATCAGTCTGTCCTCCTCATGCTCTACAAGGAATGAAAAGGACAGACTGATGTCATGTTTACAAATATCAAGCACTAATAGCCAGGTGCAGTGCCTAGACATTGATATCTGTCACCTATCTTTCCCAACATTGCAGGATACAATATTTTAGATTATGTAACTCGTCTCATCTCAAACTGGTAATTGTACTTTTTGTGTTCTACTGTTTGTATTCATTATTTGAAAACCAGTAAATTTTTGATGTGTAAAATCTTTCCTCTCGCTTTCCTGCAATTTGAAGGAGTGATTTCGTGAAATGAGATGGAACTGTGTAACAGGAAGAACAGGAAGTGCTATTTGATTTGATTTTAGAACATAATGTTCAAATGGCTTATTCCTTTTGTAGTAGGTTTTATTTCTTTTTTTACTAATATAAGGTGAGGTTTCAAATGTTACATATCATACGCGACTACTGTAAGGCTCGCTCGTTTTTCTTTTTAGTTTTTAGTAACTAATTTTGTGTCAATAATTAACAATTGCTGTTATTTTTCTTTCTTTACTTGTAATATAATTAATTTTATTGTGATATTGGTTTCGATTCTGGCGTGATTCTCTAAACTTAAAACTAAATTTAACATCAATCTCTCGTTTTCATTCCGTATAGAGAATGACAAGGATACACTGTTGTCAAATTTAAGTTTAGGTTTAGAGAATCGTGTCAGAATTGACACCATTGTATTATATTATTTTATAATTTATACAATTGGTGAAATAAATGATAAAATAATCTCTTTTCCAAGGTAGGGTAGTAACAACGGATGATAATACTTATAAAATGTCGATTCGATAAAACGCATCAATCTACTTCGCCGATTATCCCTAATGCGATAGCTCTTATCTATGACGTTGATTAGCTAAGTATGCATCAGGTAACCTGCACCTTCCGAATATCACAGTAAAACAACACAACCTTCTCTTCTTCTTCTTCCAACGGGCGTTTCCGCAACTCGACGTCCTTGTGGCGCCTGTTTTGCGTTAGGAGGATGTATAGCCGGAATCACTAAAGCCAGCCCAGCTCCATCAGGAACGCCCCCAGGGCCTTCACATTGGTGACTGCCTCTTGAAGGTTTCCCGGTGAGCCGAGGTATTTCGCCCGGTATTCGGCAACTCCATTGCATTCCAGCAGAACGTGAGTAGCTGTTTCTTCTGCCTCCATGCATCCTCTGCATAGGGGGCTGTCCGTGACACCTAAGTTAAAAAGATGTCTGTTAAAGTGTGCATGTCCGTTAATAGCACCTGTTACCATGCGCAGTGTAGGTTTGCTTAGCTGTAGAAGAGTTTTGGACAGGGCAACACAACCTTTTGGTAGTAAAGTGATAGTGATAGAAGTGCCAGTGATATTTCTGGTATTGTAAGCATCTTTAGGCTATGGTGGTCGCTCACCATCAGGCGGGCGATATTGCTTGTATGCCACCCTTTTAACATAAAAAAAATACGTCATTACATTGTAAAATATCGCAATATGATAACTATTGAAGCAGTCGGTGTATAGCATCGAATCGATGTGGAGATATCATTAACAATATTGCGGTGTATGATGTAAAACATCATAGAACCTTTGAACCGGTTTCTTCGTTTGCAAAGAGATACAGGACATCCGTCATTGTGGCTACCTTCTGGTCGTGTTGTGTTTCTGTTTGGTGAGTAAGGTTGCAGGGCTCCACAATGTAGGGAATTGAGTCAGTGTAGGGATTTGGGTCAGTGTAGGGAATTGGGTTAGTGTAGGGAATTGGGTCAGTGTAGGGAATAGGGATGACTAATTTTTTTTTCTTTGTTTATCAGGTAGATTATCAAAAAGTATTGGACACGTATTTTTCTTTTTTCACATAATATAAACATTGCAGAGATATATTGATTTGAAAAGTCGCATGACGTCACGTTTGAGTACACTTTTAAGTGAAAATTCACTCAAAAGTGACGTCACGAGCCCCTACTCCCAAACTTTGACGCGCTATAACTTTGTCATTTTTTGGTTGATTGCCCAAAGAAAAAGTACGTGTCCATTATTTTTTGATCATCTAACTGACGGACTAAATAGAATTTCGTTTGCTGTACCCCGTCATCATCCCTATTGGGTCAGTGTAGGGAATTGTGTCAGTGTAGGGAATTGGGTCAGTGTAGGCAACGGTTCGACTAATATTGTTGGTATCACAAGCGTCTATAGGCTATGGTGGCCGCTTACCATCAGGCGGGCCAAACGTTTGTTTCTGGCACCCTTTTAATATGAAAAAATCATTAATCTTGCTAAAGAAGGAAGAAACCTAAGACACATGAATGAGATGGCAAATATTTGCGCATGATGATGTGGCCACTTGAGTGACGTCATATCATATATATGTTTATTAGAACCGGGTGGCGGCCGGCGAGGGCAGTATTTTCCTCGGGGAAAACCACTGTGACCTTTTTAACTCGACAACCTTCATAAAAAAATGTTTTTTGTCATTACTCGTACGAACAGTAAATCCATAATTTACCTACTCGATGTTTCCACCGATCATTTTAATGTGTTCTGTATAGAGACAAATCACTTGATTTTTCAATGATTGGATGGGTGACCAAAAACTTACTATCTCGAGCTCCACCGTGCTTCGAATTTATTGATGCCTACCCTGACCCAATCTCATACCCTGTGGAGCCAAAGAGCAAAAAATACTATTTACAGACGACGGCGCCTTTAAGAGGCACACGACCGAACGGACCTCACACCTGGCTCCCGCAAGCCTTACAAGCCCCAGCCCCTCTAGCATGACCACCGAAACGGTATATGATAAAGCGATATATCGGCATTAACTGTCAGACTACTATGGAGTTTGACAGTAGTCTGACAGTTAATGTCGATATATCGCTTTATCATATCCCGTTTCGGTGGTCATGCTAGAGGGACAGGAGTGCCCACCGTAACCCTTACGCGCGCTTTACGGCATAATATCCGCTAAAAACCCTGCGAACACCCTCTAAGCTGCTTAACGGGATCCCCGTTTAGGGATTCTTCCGCGTCTCCGCACCTAGCAGCCTCCCGGCCTAGCCGGGGCTCCGCGACAGGGGTCTCCCGGGGTATCGCGGGGACCCCGATATCCCCCTGGAGCCCTGGAACCTGGCTCACAGACAGAAACACATGTAAGGAAAGGCTATAGGTTTATATGTGATTAAATAGATAATGAAAGTATGTATGATAATATTAAACCATTATTCGAAGGCATTTTATTTATTTATTTATTCAGTAACACATGCCGGCTTACAGAAATATCCAAAACGCCGGCAAGTCATACATAAAAACATTAACATTCATTCCTATTCAACAAAATTAAGAAAAACAGAAAAGAAAAAATAAAAAACAAAAAAGTAATGTCAAATAGATAAAGATCCAGAATCAAAGTCAAATTGCATGTTAATACTCGACTAAAAAATATATATGACTAGCTGTACCCCGCGCTGTTACCCGCTGTTTATTAGGGAGATTTCCAGCAGTAAAACGCAGTCAATGTGTTAAGCCAGGGTGTGAGCTAACTCCATACCAAAGTTTATTAAAATCGCTCCAGCCGTTGAGAAGTGAAGAAGTAACAAACATACACACTCACAAACTTTGGCCTTAATAATATTAGTGTGATAATACGTGCGTTTTCGAACGTTCTGTTTTTTGGTAGGCATTAGAGCCTACCAAAAAACAGAGCAGCCTACCAAAAAACAGTGCTAATCTGTCACGTTGGACAGATGCGAACGACGATTTTGGTTGTTGTATTTTTGCGTTGTATAAAAATGTAATCATTGTTTCAAGTAAAGTTATTACTATAATTTTTATTTTTTAAGCATGTAACTGCTTGATGTTTAAATCTAAAGAAAATATAACTAGAAAAAATTCCAAGCGGACCAGACAACAGACGGGACTCGAACCCGCACCATTCGCAATCCGAGCGAATGCACTGACCAGTTATGCTACCGCGGCCCTGATGGCCGCGTCGAAATTCTTCTACCATTCTTAAGCTGCAAGGCAGCGTCATTTCTTCGCATTGTAGGTAACCCACAATGTCAAATGAATACTTTTACAAGTATTAAACATTCGAAAGAAGAAATAGCAATTATAGTTATAATTTTTATTTTTTAAGCATGTAACTGCTTGATGTTTAAATCTAAAGAAAATATAACTAGTCCGTCAGGGCCGCGGTAGCATAATTGGTCAGTGCATTCGCCCGGATTGCAAAGGGTGCGGGTTCGAGTCCCGTCTGCTGCCTGGTTTGAGTGGAATTTTTTCTAGTTATATTTTCTTTAAAGTTATTACTGTTCCAAAACAAGTTCCAAACCAGGATTTTTATCATAAAAATTGAAAACCAGACAGGCGTTCCATCAACAACTCAAGCGGCAAATCGCTATAACCTACCACTACTGCATGTATATCGTTTCATCATCATCATCATCATCATCAACCCATGTTCGTCCACTGCTGGACATAGGTCTCCCCTAATGCACGCCACTGCTCCCGATTTTGTGCTACTCTCATCCAGCCCACTCCAGCCAGCCTACGAATATCATCATCCCATCTTGTCTCAGGGCGTCCCACACTACGTTTACCGAGTCGCGGTCTCCACTCAAGAACTTTCCGGCTCCAACGTCCATCAGTTCTGCGGCTAATGTGACCAGCCCACTGCCACTTCAGTTTGCTAATATCGTTTATCAATACATATTTCGTTTTCACGCGCCACTGTGTTGGTCAAACTGATTTAATCCAATATATTATTTGTCTTGTCTAATGATTAAATCACTATTCTATTTATGCTAATGGCTGACCAGGTGGAATAAATTCATGTTCGAGGTTGGGCGAGCACGAGATTCGGTCTGTTAAACAGATTTCACGAATTAACATAATTTGGTTGTTTTTAATCAAAGTAGTTTTGTATTGCCTTTTATAATTTCTAATGTCTTTTCCTTATACGTTGGTTAACCGCAATTGGAATGCAGATATTTCATTGCAATTACAATTAATTCTATTGCCGATATTTGTAATGACTAATGAATTAATTGATTCGCAAATTAGGAATTATATTAGTGTATTATATTAATATACTAGC